TGTCGTCATGAACAACGCATCCGGCCCGGGCAGCGATACCCGACAGGAGGCCAACCCGTCTCCCCGTATGGGTAGGTCTAAAAACAGAAAAATTAGCTCCACCCGTCTGAGACACAGTGATATTTATTAGTAACCCAGGTAAAGATGTGTCAAAAATCTTAAAATAAAAACATTCCTCTGTCTGTAGGCTCCAGATTTGTGATTTGTTGCTTTTGGAGCTTTTTATGTTCCATTAGTCTGCAATAAACTACAAGAAAACGGCAAACCTGCTGAAACTCTGACTTCCTTTAAATAAAGGCTAAAAACTCACCTACTTAGAGTTTCCTTTGACTCACAATAATTGAAACATTAATCAATGTATTTGATGTGTATTCACCTGATGATTTTGATTTGTCAAAATGCAAAGTCTCTGGCTCGTTTCATAATTGGTGCATGTGTGTTTTTATGATGTAAACTGTCTTGTTGCTGAAATGTGCTAAACAAATAGACCAGTACTATATTGGCAATGGCATAATGTAAATTTGCCACAAAATTTTAATTTAGTAAAGAACATTTAACACTGAACGATGTTTTAAATAGCCAAAATAAAACAAAACGAGAACAATACATAAAGACCACTTACAACCAAAACCATAAATAAAATTATAAATTATGATTATAAAGTTTCTGTAAACAAAATTTCCTATAAAAATATTAATCTTCAGAATGGAAATGATCAAGCTCATTTTACTTAATTAATTGCTTAGCGTGACTGATTTGTATACAAACAAACTTGACTTAACTTTGTGCGATAATCAACACATTGAAAAGCAAATTTGACACCTTTGTGTTGAGTAAAGTTCTGGATTTGATTTTTCTAAAGTTTTCAATTTGATATACTCCTGGTATAAAAGAAGAATTTGATTTAAGGATTTCTGCGTCTCCATCGATGCTACAAACATGCTAACGGTGTATAAATGGCCGCCTGTTTGAATCCGCAGGGAAACAGAAGCAGGGCAAAGCAAACAGCCGGAAGTCCAAGTCTCCTAATCTGGGTCAGGCCTACCCGGGAGGGGAGCGTCCGCCATCGGTCCACTCTGACGGGGAATACCACAGACAAACCCAAGCACAGTGGACCTGGGAGGAGCGACCCCCGTCCACAGGTGAGCTGCTCATTTGTCTGAGAACAAGATTACTGCTAAAATGAGACTTGAGGCTCCTACGTACTTCGTCAGAAGTCACGCGGCTCTGGACCGTTCGTATTCGCATTCACCGAACCGTTCCTCCTTCCTCCTTGCATCTGTTTTGCTTTTACGAAGTGGCCATGGAGCCGAAGCCTCAATCCGTGGACGACAACGTTGCACTTTTCATCCATGAGTTTTTAGTCTTACTAATACAGTTAGTCATTTAGGGAAGAACCGTGCAAATGTAAGCAATTGTTCATCGCTTCAAAATTATCCTTGCTCAATAGGTCTCCTGCGGATACAAAAACCAGTAGATCTCTGCAACAAACTTCTGACCAATCACACATTTTGCACAAAACAGTTCAACACGAGCCTGATGTTAGATGCAGATGCACTCAAATTTTGTCATGCATTTACATGGTTTCTGGTAAAATGAAACTAAAGGCTCTTAAAAAAAAAAGCTTTAATTTTGTGAATCTAAAATTAAGACCTCAACATTTTTAATTCCATAAAAGAATGAGTTGGCCTTAAGTATATTAATCAGAAGTCTTAAATTTTGCTGTGACAAGACTAATCTCTTATTTTTATATATAAATGTGATTGTTGTCTCAGGAGCAACGTCACCTCATGTGTATCAACCCCGATAACTGTAAATTAGTTTTTCCGTCACTGGCTCTGGGCTGTTGCCAACACATACAAAGCGAGGTGCAGTTTGTGCAAAAACAAGAATGCGCTTGGCACTAAGGCTGTAGAGGGAAATCCATTGTATTTATAGTTGTTGCATTAAAAAGGTCAATAAAAACTTCTTAAATTTTACTCACCATGACCTGCAGATTCCCTAAATAGGAGCTGATTTCGCTGCTTCGGATGAAAGGGGGCGTTTAGACCAGGTTGTCTCATTCTTCTCCTCCCTTATTTAAGGTCCCATGCCGTTTCCTTACAACCCACTGACCCTGATGAGCACACCGCCCACGTCCATGGCCTCAGCCTCTATACAGAGCCAGCAGCAGCAACAGCAGCAGCAGCAGCAACAGCAACAACAACAGCCTCCCCCAGCCAGGGGGCAGCAGCGAGTGTGGCAGTCTCTGCTGTCGGAGCAGTACGAGACCCTGTCTGACAGCGATGACTGAACCCGAAACTCGTCGACAGCCCGGTTGCCAGGGAAACGGCCTACGCTTCAGGCGGATCTGTCCACACCCCTCTCCCGGAACTAACCTCACTCTTTTTGTGAGTGAGGATCGGATGCGGTGGTGTCATGTTTTGTTTTTGTTTTGTTTTTTTGTTTTTGTTTTTTTTCCTTCTTCTTCTGTTGTTGTTGTTTTTGGTGCTATGGCGCCCCCTGGCGGTCAGCTTGGAGCGAGCAACAGGCAGGGTTCTCCGGAACAAGACTCACCCAGCCTGTCGGGAGAAGTACACGCCAACATGGAGGACGACAAACGGTGCCAGTCGAGCTGAAGAAATTCCTTCATGTGTAAAAAAAGAAACATAAGAAGCTGTTTCTGAATTTTTTGTCTGATTCTGTAAAGATACACGCTGTCTTTAAGAAAATTTGTATGTACATAGAGTAACCTTTTTGCAGTGTTTTTCTTAACTTGTTTCTTATTTTAACGTCTCTTTTAACTTGATCCACTTTAATTGGGAAGAGGTGTGGTGTCATCTTTAATAATGCACTCGCTCTCCCAGACTCCTCGCCACCAACCTGAAACTTTATTATTATTATTTTTTTTACCATGGCTTTGCTAAGAGAGACCGGACCTGTTGTTAAAACTTGACCCCTCTGCGGATCACAGATTGTGCTGCCGTCAAACCAAGCACCACCAGAGCCTGAACCGGTGTGGACAAAAGCAAACACAAAAACAAAAACTGAAGCGTCAAAATCTGAAGTCAGTCTTCGTCATAGAGCGGAGCTGATGCGTGGATCGTAAATAAACAGGCGGTAGAGACAACTTCTCACCCAGTTGGAACAGAGAAACATCACAACAAGTTGAGATCACTGACATCGGAGCCGAAAGGTGAAAAGTCGGAAATAAGCTTGCTGGAAATGATAATCGTTATGACTACTCCTGGACCCTGTCTGAATGATGAAAGTGAGCCAATGAGTTTATTTTTTCTTTTTCTTTCAATAGAGCTGACAACGCAGTGTGTTGCATCCCTGCAGTTTCTCTTTCCAAGCTGTCCAGAATAACGTCTTGTCAAAAAGGAGAAAAAAAAAAAAAAATTGTGTGTCAGGCAGGACATGTGATTTCTTTTCAGCTTTCTTTTCTGAGGGATAACTTTGCCACGCCTTGTGAGTTAAGAGAGAAGGCAGCTTTAAAAACGATTTTCTCAGAGATATATGTTGGTGTCATTTGTATTTGTTTCTGCAGTCCCTCTTTCTTTTTTATTATTATTTTTACTTTTTCTTCTCTGTTTCCTGTCCTGACAACAATCTGGGCTCTGTAAAACTGTCTTCTCATTACACAAAACGCAGAAACTAACCAAACGTAAAGAATGCTCTGCACCATTGTTGCACTTTTTGTTTGCTTTGTGGCTTCGGACAACAGAAAGCGTACTACCTGCTGTGTAACTTAATCAACCTCCAGCCTAGGACTATACTAAGATGTGCTTTAACTTTTTCCCCGCCACTCAATTAAAATCTGGATGTTTGAACTTCCTTTCTTTCCTCACTGCTGGTACATAATATATTTTGGTGTTAACACCTGCATCAGTTACTGTTTTTAAGTGCATGGTACCGTTTAATGTCTAGGAGTTTGCTGTCAAAGTGATTCAGAATCTTGATAACTTAATATCTGCTTACGTTGTGTCTGCCGACAGATGGCTCTGGAGATGACTCCTATTACATCGACGTCATAAACGGCAGTAATTCTGTTCACATTTTCTTTATGTAACAATGCCATATTCTAGCTGTCTCTCTGCTCCACTTGGGAAACCCATTTTGCTTGAAACTTGATTATTTTTTTCTCACCATTTTTCATTTCACTTTTGTTTTCCATCCTGCTTTTTAGGGATGTTATGTGTTTACAGACGCAATGACAAAAGAAGTTTACAAACTTGAATCTTAAATCCGACATGAAGCCGTAAAAAGAAAATGAATTGGAGCGTCTCAGTTTTCTTTTCTTTTTTTTCTTTTTTGTTGGTTTCTTTTTTTTTCCAGCTCTCTTTCAAATACACAGTGGTGACTCTTTGTCTATTGGAAATTGAGACTTGAAACCCCATGTGTCCTATGATGTTAAAATGCAATATTTGTATCGCACAATGTCTCTTAGTAGGCTATTACAAGAGTTCAGACCAATCGAATAAAGTGGATCAGTTCTACACCACTGACAGATTTGTAGGTTTATAGAGGTGCCATCCTTTCTCTTCTTTGCTTTTGTTTTTCTTTTGACTGCACAGTGTCATGCTTGGTTGCTGAGGTGTAATTGCAACTGTCACTTGGCTCTTTACTGGCAAGTTACTGCAATATTAAATAAAAAAAAAGTGTCAGGAATTGCAATATAATGAAAAATATGTAATAAAAGTCTGACAGTTTGTTAGAATAGGATGAACACACTGACAAATACCTCTTTTATATAGAAATATCACCTTCATAAAATATACACGTCGCCTGGTAATGTCACCGTCCAAGTATGATATGGTAAGTATTTTCTCGCTTCTCAAGAAAAGCTACAAAAAATTCTTCGGTTTTCCACGTTTTATTTTCATATATGTACTTACTTAAATATTTTCTAGCTCCTGATTTCTCCCTAAAATAAGAGTTGCTATTGAATTTTGAAAGTTAAGTCAAAATTTTGAAAAATGAATTACCCTGCTTATTTGCAAGGGTGAAAATAACTTTTACTTTGAAAGGACTTTGGGCAGTCCGACACCGGAAGTCGTAATGTTTTGGTCGCGCCTTATTGGCTGATGAAGAGCGGTAGACCCTGAAACAGCAGGAAAAACTATGTGGAAAAAATGCGGACGTTTTTACCTGCCGTAGCAGAACAGCTTTTCCGAGACATCCGGAAAATCTACGAGGAGACGAGTCAAAGTAAGAAACGACCGAGCGGTGATATTTGGGGCAACACGAAATCTAGCTTGATTGGTTTGAACGGAAAAGTGTCTTGAATTCTACGAACTAACAACGGGAATTACTAATTTCAATACCAATACTAATTTGAATAATCGGATATCTATAGCTACTTGCTTCAAATAAAATGAAAGTATTTTTACTTTGCTTGTACGGTGAAAGAAATGTAGCTTTTGCTAATGCAGCAGGGTAATGTAGTTAACGATTTGGGCTGTAGGGGGCACTGCTGTCTTATAGTTTTGACTTTGCCATTAGGCCAGAACCACCTATCTGTAATGCAAATCAGTTAAAGTAGCATATATCCACATAACAACGTTTACTTTTTTCCCGACAAGACTTAATGAGTGAAGTAGTTTCTTAATTCATTCTAGTAGTTCTTGGAAAAAAAATATTTACCTTCTAAACACAGTTCTTCTGTTATTTCTTTTAGATCATCTTTCAGATCATCAGAGAAATTTTATATTCGACAAAGATGAGCTGAGTAGATATAAACAGCTGCTGTCAAACTGAGGATTTCTTTTAAGAATGCAAAGACTTTTTCACAGGCTCATGTTGTCTTAGATAGCCCCTTTCAAACTTTGCATTGTAACTAATCCTTAGCAATAACAACTGGCATCATGCCTTTGCAAAAAGTGGAAAGTGAAGCAGCAATGGAACAATTGGCTTTCTGGATTGTAAAGGTGACTCACCCTGGTACAAGGAATGTGTGTGGATATTTTTCATTTTATCACCATTTTTTTAAACGGAGGGAACAACCCAATTTTTTTGCCCCGTTCTGAGTAAATTTTCTTGCTTGACGTTTTTTTTAATGCATTTTGTTGTTTCAACTGACGGTTCTCTTGTAGTTATGTTTCCTTTCAGTCAACAAGCTGCAACCACTCATTAATGTCTGCAAGTGCTCTCTTTTACTGCAGACTCATTTGCAAAATTAGACTTGTTCCTGGTGTTTGTTTTGCATATATATCCCTTACCTTTATTTATCCTCAAAGATAATCTGTAAAATAAGAAATTAGTCTTATTATTTGCATATTTCAGGTATGTTTTGCACAGGCAGAATGTCGAGCTGCTGAATTAAAAAAAATAGTTTGGCAGCATGCCTTTTCTTTGCCACAGAGTAACACATCATCCTCCGAAGAGTAGTTGCATTTGATTGCAGTGTTCCAGTTCCAGTGTGACGGCCAGAAAGCAATAACATGGAGTTAGATTTTAGTCCCCTTTAAACAGTTCCTCAACAAATGAATCAAATTAAGGAATTATTTGTTACATTTTGAACTTGAGATCTTTTTTTCTTCTTTTTGCAGTACCCGATGACCTACTTGTTGCGTAAGTATCCATTTTCCTAATGCATAACACATTTGCTTCCATCAAAGGTACTATTTTGAGCTTGATGGACATTTTTCTTCTGTTTTCTATTTAAAATATTTGTAAGAATAGCAATAACATCAATCATCCAGTGGGATCTGTGCGGTGATGGAAAGGGTGTTCAGGTTGAGTCATGGTGAACTGCTAAACCACACTAAGGAGAATGAATGGGGCATTTTTATGGCTTGGATTCGTCCCACGTGACGTAGAGACAGAGACAGAGACATGATGCCTAGCTTTGTGTGTTGACGGAGACATTTCCTGCCCTGGTGGTCTGAGCTGCTGTCAGAGAGGGCCGCTCCCTGTCTGCGCAACACTTTCACATCCTGTTTGTTCATCAGGACGTTTCCAGTTTAGGGGTTCACGCTTGGAAAATCTGGGCTTTGTGACATTTGTTAGAAAGTTGAGGTTTCGCTCCATATTGGTCTTTTCACAAATTAGCAACTTCTTACAAAATATAATTGGAATTATCACAAGACAAATTTAATGTGGTTACGTTATTTCTTTCTTCATTTCTATAGATTGTGTATTTTTTTTATTTTTTATTTTTTGCAGACTTAAAAACATACAAAAAAAAACAAACTAGTTTTCACTTTCATGCTCTCCTCTCTAAGAAAGGGACCAAAAATCCTCCATTGACTAAAATCTTTTCTGCCTGACGGGCCCCGATTGTTGACCACTTGGTGCTAAACTCGATCTGATTCATTGGTTCATTCAAGCTGCAAGAGAGCGAGCGAGAGCAAGACTTTCAAAAAGCAAATAGTGGGAAGCAGTTTACAACAAAGCTATTCAGGTTTTATCCGTTTGAGCCTTTGAAATGTCAAAGTGAACAATATCAATAGATATTGCATCTGATTGAATTTTAAATAGTTTCGCTGAACTTCGGTCCAGAACCACACAGCATTCTGGGGGATGTAGGCAGAGGAAAGGCTTTAGCCACTCAACCTCACAAAGCGAGCTAACAAAGGTTGGTGGCATCAACTACCTCACTCACTCTTTGGTTACCTATCAACAGCCTGTCGTGTGACTATTTGTGTTTCGCCAACGTGCATGTTGTTGAATCAGAAGAACATCTCAATAAAAAGAATCTTGAATTATCAATGAATTTACAAATAGCAAATTATTGATGCTGGACTAATCTTTAGAGCTTGTATTTTCTCATAACTTTGAATCATGCACCAAGATTGACGCCATGAGATCTCTGACTTCACTGGTTTCCCTCAACCCTGACGCCGCCTTCCTCTCGTCTTGGCAGGCTGAAGTTTGTCTTCGGGACTTGTGCGCTGCAGGCGTTGGACCTGGTTGACCAGAGCTCCGTCACGTGTCTGTCCTCTCCCAGCGGTCGAAAAGCCTTCCAGGTCTGTTAAGTAGCTGTCAACGTTGCACATTTTACAGTCAGGACTCCCCGCTTGCACAGCGCACAATCTCTATTAACCACTGAGTGTTGAACTGCGAACAGACCAACTTCCATATATGAGCCGCATGATTACTGTTTATGAATTTGGTTCTTCTGTCAACAGCATGACAAGACTTTCGGGTTGAGTAACAGTCTCATAAAGATGGTTTCTTTTTCAAGCAGGAGTGGTGTGTTCAGGGTGAGGTGGAGTGTTTTCTCACACGTCTCCTCTGTCTGACCTCTGGAACAACTGGATTTTATACTGAGATTCAATTACTAAGGGGATTTAGGAAAGCTCTCTTATAAATGAAGACATATTGTTCTCCAGGATTTCTCTATATTTTGCTGCATTCCTTTTACCTTCTATCTTGGCCTCCTGCTGAGAAGCACCGCCACTGCATGATGCTGCACCCGCCATGTTTGACAGTGGGGACAATATGTTTGTGGTGATCTATTTGGCGCCTGCTAAACATGGTGTGGAGACAATTTCCTGTCTCGTATGACAATAGACAGTACTTTAATTTTTGCTAGTAAGTCTGTTTTGCTCAGTATCAATCTAACAGCAAAGATATTTATGCTAAGTGGTGCAGGGCTGCAGCTAATTAATCTATTGATTATTCTGACGCTTAATCAGATGAAAACAGATTCATTTAATAACTTAAGACTTTTTATACAGTTTTAGAGTACATTAATAGATGCTAATAAAGAAATCAGTCAATTACTTTTTAAAATAAGAAATTAGTGCCGAAAATGCAATAACAGTTTGATAGTTTGTAGCAGAAGGAAGCATCAGAATCTAAAAAAACACTTGTAACATCAACATCTGAGTCTGTATATTCCAGTTAAAGATCAACCGACTACTAAATTAGTTGACAAGTATTTCAATGATTGATTCTTCATAATTAATCCAATTAATCGTTTCAGCCCTTTCTGTAATAGCGTATTACAGAAATGCTAAAGTACATAAAGAAAACGACTTGGTTTTAAAAACTGAAGGATCTTAACAAACTCCAACTGTTGCCATTTTTAAATCATGACCTTTGTGACGTCCTGGAGAACTTTGACCCCATTAACAGATGAGCCAGCACAAGTCAGAGGAGATGGCTCTCAGCCAGAGAGAGGAGGGCTGTTTTTCATCTTTAAGAAAGTTGCAAATAAAATGTAAAAATAGTCATGATAAAACCAAGACAGTTTTCAATTCTGACTAATTTAAATGTAAATGAAAAATAAAAATGTGTGTCTCAGTAGGTTAATTAGTTCTGTTGAAAATCAGAGCAACAAAGATTTTTTTCTAAATCCTGGAAATAACTAAAAATAAATCCAACAGAAGGTCTGAACACTCTTCAAAGCAAGAAGTTGGAGTCCGGATGTTATCTATGTCTGTAAATCCAGGATTCTCACAGAATTTCTCAGACAAACAAACCCGTCATCTTTACTGAGTCATGCTGTTTGCGCGTCAGAAGGGCGTAGCGTTACTCGAAGTGGAAGAATCGACGTTCTCCACACAGTTTGTGGTCATTGTGCCACGGTTTTCCGGTAAACTCCTTCAGGCTGAAATAAAAATAGTCTTATGAATGACAATGAAGCCGAACAGGAATGTGGATCTATTGGGATAGTTCCACCTCAGCTCTTGGATTGTGATTGTTTTATGTGATTTCCCTCAAGGCCGGCTGGTATTTGCTGTCCGGCACCCTGTCGGGCCAGATCCAAAAAGAATAAAAATCTCTTTTCTTTATAAAAGAAACCACTGAAAATGACTTTTCTTTTTTCACCAACATTATGTCATAGTATTTCTGAAACCAAACTTTTATTGTGCTCTGTTGTATTCCTGATTGTGAGGACAGTTGAAACCAGAAACCAAATAAGAGACTCAAACATCTCTTCCTTCTCACCGTCTGAAGTTAGATCAGACCAAACTTGGCTTTTTCAGGTCAGTTAGAATCTCCAAAATAATTTCCATTGTCTAAAGACATATTTCTCTCATTAATGAGAGAATTAGCAGTTTGTTAATGGACCATTTTATCAATGCATTCTGCCATAATCTGCCCTTTGAGGACATTTGTGATATCAGTTCGGCCCAAAATGAAAATGAGTTTGACTTTCCTGCTCCAGAGGACTGAAATCAGGACTTAGTACAACAAAGAACGTTCTCAAATTTTTGAGAAAAACCTTTAGTAAATGTTTCTTTTTAACCTGTTTAGCCGTTTTATTATTTTTTTCCCCTCCTTCTTCCATTTGAACTGACAGCCAGTCTTTTTATGCCTCTGTATTTAGGAAAGCTTTATTAGGTGAGCAACGTCTATTAAAAAAAAGAAAAAAAAAACTTGTTTATTGAACCGAACTTGCTCTCTGGCTGTGTTAAGGTGAGTTTTAATGAGCCGTTGGAAGCTCCTCAGTGAGCGGCTGAAATCGGCTCAGTGAGGAGTCGGGGTTCTGTTCTGACAGCTCTGATCTTTTGAGCTGGACTCTGGGATGTGTGTTTCAGCTCAGGGTACATCATCTTCACACCGCGCTCTGACTTTAGAAAGCTGTATTGAACTTTTAGCAATAAATCTTAACTGTGATATTTTGAATAACTTTGCTTCACCCCTAAAAAAATCCACCCACAATTAGTCATCCAGGAGATTTCTGCTTGGATTAAAGTAGGATGAGAGAGCTGGATGATATGCATGTGGACATTACTGAATCGAGATAACGAATGAAGCAGGGGTTTTTGTAGCTTCCTGTACATATGTGAATGTGTTTTTCTTCCTTTTCTGCTGGATTCTACTGGATTTCTCATCTTGTATTTATTCTCTCTCAGTCTCTTTCCGCTGAAGGGATGAATTACTCATGAGAACTTGGCATTTCACCGCTGAGACTTTCACCTTATCTCATTCCTAACATCCACTGACCTTTACATAAGGGATGATGCACTGATGTCTACAGGGAAACAAAAGTGTGAACAGTAACACCGACTGTGTGGCGTTATTAAAAAAATCTTAAATGAAGCAGAACACAAAAATATAAGCCGATTTTTATATTTTGCCACCATTTTTTGTTACTTTCAACCCAAATGAATACATCAAAATTATGTTTTTTTCTTAGTTTTAATAAAATTAGCTTCAAAGTAATCAAACTTCTTGATTTTGCAATTTTTCATTTTAATTTGATTTGATGTCCACACATTTTCCATTGGATAAATAATGGAAGTAAAACTAAGGTCACGACTTCGAAGGCATATTTTGATCATTTTCTTTCTATTCAGAAAGTTGAAAGAAAACTCTTCAGTTCTTAATTTAATTATTGAAACAAATTTTTGATGTGTCCGTCAAAATTACCAAGCCATTAACTAATCCAAGTTTCATCTAACATTCAGAATCTGAAGGCCAAGAGGATCTGAACTCTCGCTCTACTGTTACTTTCACAGACAGCTCAAAGATGCAGAAAGGAAAAAGTGTTAACAGTATCACAATAACATGCAACACCTTGGACATCCATCATTTGATACATGCTTTAAGCATTTAATTGATGGTCAACGAGATAAATGACATGATTCATGCTGTTGGATATCAGAAAAATCATGTTATTTGCAATGATTTTGAAGGGCTTTTAGTCTGTCAGATGTTTGAAATAGAAATATATGCAACAAAAGGCAATAATTCAGGCGAAAGTTGTCAAAGGGTGATGGAGATACGAGTGAAACACTGAACTGGGATTAATGCAAAACAATCCTGAGGAGGAAGAAGTCAAGAGGAAAGTTGTCCTAGAGAAGTTGCTTGAAGATTTAACAGACCAGCACTAGAATTTAAAAAACAACACAATTTTGCAATTGCTGTGCTTCCATTAAATGAGAAAAGTAGTTAAAATCTCATGTGAATAAGTTTGTTTACACTGTAAGTCATTAAAAACTTATGTGCCGTCATCCTCCTACCACTTCCTGTCATCTTCTTCGTTGTAAATCCTGTTGTTGGTCATGTGACTTGTGAGTTTCCATTAAGCAAATTTTTCCTAATTTTCATCTGTGAAATTTAATACTAAATGGAAGCATAACTAGTGACAAATAACCACCTGTGCTAAAAACTTAAATGAAACAAGTAAAGTTCTTGCATCGTTCATATAAACTTTCTCCTTTGGTTCTGACTAACACAGATCTGCGTGAACTGATCTGCTTCAGCTGCTTCAGTAACATAAAGTTAAGCTGGAATAGTCCAACTCTGACTGTAATTAACCACAGCATTGAATGACAGCTTGTTAGATTGTGAAGGAAATAATCTAGCCCTAATCTACAAACCTAACAAGAAATATTTAGATTTGGGCTATGAATGTTTGCTCCTTGACTGCTACAAATACAGAAACTTTACTGACCCTTTAACCTTTCAATCAAACACCAGAGTGAAGGTCAAAGATGTTTTTCTTCAGTGTAGTTAGCATCCTTTGCAACTATTCTTAGCATTTATTTGAAGAACTCTGTCATAGCGCCTTTTTGTTTTAGAGACCTGATGACTCAAAGACCCTCAATGTGTCAGAAACGTGTCTCTTTAAAACTATTATTTGTGTTAATTTGAAAAAAATAAATACAAATATATCTATCATAAAGACTACAATTTGTTCATGGTTCTTTCCTTAAACTTGAAACTGAAAATATCGCTTGATAATCGTGTGTTATTGAAAGATTGATAAATTAACACCTGTAGATCAACTATAAAGTCTTTAAAAAATGCAAACATTTTAAAAAGACCTAAATAAATAACCAATGCGTAGCCTGGCGGGGGGCACTAGTAAAACCTGGTGGCCCGCCAGGCTGGTAAAACACTGGGGGACACCCTGCATTAAATCTTAAAGCACTTTTATAAGTCAACATAAATGCACCTGATCAGATGAGTGCAGAATGATCGCAAAATGGTTGATATTCCAGAGTTTTACACCAGAAGCAGTTCGCTCTGTCATGATGGCTTCCTTTCAAGAGCTCTTCTGAGTCTAAACTATGCAAACTCTCTCTTTCTCTTCCTGTTCCATGTGCTGCCACTACATGCCAGATTTTGATGTATTGTGTTTACCAAACAAACATATATCCATGTCTGCATGTTGCTGTAGGCTTTGATGATATTAGCCGTCAGTGCTGCTGTGTGAGCTGCAGCAGAGCCACATTTCTTTGACACCAACAGAAAACAAAAAGGGCCCAAGTGTGAGCTGCTTCTTAATCAGCCTAACTCTTTAGAAAGTCCCCGGTTTAGTTGCCACAGTGTTCCTTCCTCATCCCAGTATTCATGGTGCTTTATCCGTCTTCCTCAAGCTGCATTGAGTTGAAGCAATTTTCTCTTTTGTGCCTTATTTATAATGAAGCGTGGTACTGAACAAATGAGCCTTCTTTTTTTTTACATTGGTAGATCATAGGGGAAGGTAATTAATTATATCTCAGCACAATAATGGTGCCAAGTCTGAGAGGCATTAGTTATTGTGCTGTGTCATGCTAATTTGCCAATGTGATGTCCTCACACGCCCTCACAAGCAAGAGAGAGGCGCCTAAATCACTGTCCAAAGCTGGGAGGGGATGCCGACACCGTGGACATGACGCTCCGTCACCCAGGGCCATTACACATCCCACGCAGCTCGTTTAAAAATACATGATTTCTGCTCCCACTCTTCTAAATAACTCATAGGAAATTATGAGGTTGAAAAAATGGTAACAATATTACCTTAAATTATAACTTTTTCAATATTCAAAATGAGCTCCTGGGAGAGAAAAGAATAGCTAAAATAGCTGTGTACTCGAATATTACTAGAGTAAATACAAAATGCAGCTTTTAAAGGGTTATTTAGTTTATAAAGGGAAGAAAATCTATCCAAATCAGCCCTGCACTACGTGACAATATAATTACTGTCTCCCAGGACAAGCCCCACCAAGGTTTTATTACTGCCACAAGGTTAGAATCAATAATCACTTGAACAGATCCAAAGACAATTTGTAGAAAATAAAGTAATTGAAAAGCCACCTCCAAGTCCAATAACATCTATTATCCACAACCAAAGACAACATTGGAACAGAACCTCTTTATGAGACATGGAGTCACAGAAAAATAGAGAATGTCTTCAGAGGCTTCCTCAAATTCGTTGTGATACAGACTGCTACAGGAGATCCTTCCTGCAAACAGCCATCGCCATGTACAATAACTCTTTAAATAAATGAGTCACATTTCATTTCCCTTTGGAATCAATTAAGTATTTTTAAATTTTTAATTAGAATTGAACAGTGAGAGTTCCATATCTCCAAATCATTCCAAGAACAAAATGTGTTCTTGGAATAACTCATTCCAAGAATGTGTTATTCTTGGAATGAATAACAATCCATGAATAACACATTCTTTCATCCAGAACCCAGAACAAAATTTAAAGCTCTACAGGCCTCGCTTACTTTAAGGTCAGAGTTCACGATTCAACAAAAAAGAACGATACCGGGCATGAATGGCATTATTTAGAGACATAAACCAAACCTGATGAATAAGAACACGACGTCCTGTCTCACATTTGCCAAAATACGTCTTGATGACTATCAAGACATTTTTGAAGGAGTTGTCCGCAGTTTAATTCACTGTTTGTCTGCTCATTGGAGGACTGAAAATATAGAAGTGTTTTTAAGTTTGCAGAGATAAACAGTAGGTAATTAGAATCAAGGGATAGAAATCTGTAATTCTACCCTCTAGTGAAACCAACGTGTGCTGATGTAAACATTTGTGATCCCTGCCAGACTCCTGGCACATAATAAACCCACAGCAGGAGAGGAATTTACATCAGTGCTGTGTCTTGTATTAATCTAGTTTGCATGAATTGTTTGCAGGTCATTGGAGGCTCGGGCCGTTTGTACACTTGCTTCTTGTCCTGTCACTACTGCCCCTGCCCGGCGTTTACCTACACAGTCCTGCGCAGAAACCAAGGTCTGCTGGTGAGTCTCCCTGGTTCCATATGAGCTGTGTCCCCATTTAGATCATTTAAAGCTGCAGTATGTAACTATTACAAAACGATGTTTTTTTCCGTCTTTGCTGAAACTCTCTCTATGTTGTGACAGTGCAACATGACGAATAATCAAGGTCCTCCTCCCTTTGCTACTATTGTTGTCTGAAGTGGTGCAGCGCTCCCTATGAAAAATAACCAATCAGAGCCAAGGGGAAGATCTTAGAGCATGAATCACACTCATGTACGCGCTGCTCGATGTGCTAATGGTGGAGAAACAACTTAGTGTTCCAGGAAAACTGTTTATCCACCATCATTTGTGCCTTAGCATTCATAGCAGCCTCTGTTGGGGTGAAGCAGCTGTAGTGTGGCAGAGAGAAAAGGGGAGGGTCTGAGCAGCGAATGCACATGCGTGATTGACAGAGCAAAGACCCTCCTCCTGGCTCTGATCGCTTGTTTCTGATCGAATGGTGCATTTCTGCAGATGGCAGTAGAACAACAGGGAGAAGAATAAGAGCACAATTTTTTTTAAAGATGATCACATAAAACTAAATCAGTTTGAGAAAACTAAAATGAAAGAGTCTTTTAAGGGATTTTATAAAGGAAATAGCGAACAAACTTTATGACAATTTTCTTTATTAATAGTAACAATTAGGGGTCCACCAATTTATCTGTGACAATTTCCTTAATTTTGGGAGATCGGTGATCGGCCAATTTTTACATATGAAGCCAATCTTCTCCACCAATGTTATCAATTTTGTCAAAGGTCTAGAAATCAACTGCTGTGCTTTTCTTTTCTCCCAAGAGAGAAGTTTGACTGACAAACCGGCCGACCAGGTCATGTCTGCACATTTGCAGTTAACAAAAGTCACCCCATTGTTGCCAATTCAGCAACTTTCTTGATATATCGAGCAACATTTCAGACAAAAAAAATCGGCATTGGCCAAAATTGGAATTGGTAAGTTATGCTTTTTAAAAGATCGGTAATCTGCAATCGGCCAGAAAGCTGCAATCGGTGCACCCCTAGCAATCGGTCCTCTTTCCACACCTTGGAATAAAATCAACTTACAAAATCTCATCTTAAGCAAAATGCTGCAACAATGAAACAATCTGAGCTTCCTCTTTCTCAATAGGAAACAACCTGGCTGAATAAGCAGAACATTTTCCGAGCTCCTCAGGAATCCAAGTTAACGTTTGGACTTTATTAGACCAGATCAGTTTTGCTGCTGATATTCAGTGTTCATTACTTAATGTAAAAAGACACCATTTTTAAATGAGCTGCAACTCTTGCAGCGTTTTTATCTTGTGCCCTTTAAATGTAGAGCTGCAACTAATAATTATTTTAGCTATCAATTATTCTGATAATTAATCTGATTTTTAAAAATCAGCACAATCTGCCAATTATTTGTTTGAGCCTTTTTTATACAATATTGGAAGTGCATTAAAAGATGCAAAGAAACAAATCATTCAATTCCTTTTTTAGGTAAGATAACCATTTTATTGCTTAAAATGCAAAAACAGCGTTACTTTAGTGTACGCTTGATAGTTTGTAGTAAATGCAGGTAAAAAATATTTCTATCAAAGCTCAGGCCTTTATTCTCGACTGAACATCAATTCAGTGTAGCGACAAATTCTGTGCAGGTTTCTGGATTAACCGATTAATAATTGAACAGCTAAATAGGAGATGTTTAGTTTGTACAGCATTTGAACCAAGTGAAACTAAAACCATGCCACATTTATTTATTTTTATCTCTAATGCAAAAGGTACATTTTTTATCCAGCTTTGGCCTCATTAATACTCCGAGTATGTTATTTGTTTTTTAATCTGCCCACTCCGGTTAACAATTAACCGATTACTTTGACGATTTTTGCTAATAGATTACTGCAATGAATCATTTCAGCCCTACTTAGATGTGTGCATTACAAGATTTTCCAATGACGGGCCAGTTGAGTAACATAGGGTCCTTAAAGAAAGCCCTGTCGTTCTGCAGAGGAGTTTTAGACGTGTCAGAGTTCACATCACTTTGTCGTACATCATGTACTTTCCAGCGACTCTTAGAGGTTGTGTCTTCTCAGTCGAGTGTGCATCTCTTAGGGAAAAAGAAAAACCTTTGCCCCGCTAAGTGAGACAAAGCACACTGTGGAGTGTGTGCGCAGATGTATTGTGGTCAGGTTGTGTTTTTGTCTGGTCACTGATTGGTGTCTCCCCTTCGGTCTCTCCCTAAATATCTTGAAACAAACAAGCTCGGCTCCTTCTCCTCCGACTGCGCGGCTGATTTGCCTCCCTGGAGGATGCAGCTAAAACCAGTGTGAGAAACAGAGAGCTGCAGCAGACCACGGAGACTCCCAATGAGCACATCAGCAACACTGATACAAAACACACGACACTCACAGCAAAATAAAATTACTTTTACAGTCATAGGGAAGTGCATCAGTTACTTGCAGGGTCTTATAATGGGCCTTCATGCATGACTTTTAACAGCTGGAGTCCATTCAGGGAATATGTAGGCTCAAACTTGGCTCGGTGCAACATGGACTAGGACCATTTTGTTTCAATAAGTGGGTCAGAGGATAAATAACTGAGCTGCAACTGCAAAATGTGTTGCCTTTCCCATACTAGCAGCAAACTGCCTTCAGCAGAAGCAAAATTCTGTATCTACTGGATATTTTGAGGTGCTTTATGGTGACGATAAAGGTTGTGTTAAAAATGAAACTAGTTAGTTATTTTTTCTAAGTAAGTGTATGGTTGTGAATGCATGGCACAGCATTTATAGCTAACACAAACACAAGTATTAAATAAATACATTCCTATTTAAGAGAATACTGCTTCATCAAAAACAAAAACAAAAAAAAGATTTATATCACTTAACTGCACACATTAAACACATTTAATCATGTTTTGGAATTTTCTGATTTATTGATGCGCTCTTGGAACAAACTGGATAAAATAGATAAATACAAATTCTCATCATAAATTGTTTACTGATTGATAAACAATACAATAAATGCCCATTCGTAATAAATAATTATGGTGTTATGGAAAACTCAAGTACATTGAAAACCAGACTTTGAGTATTGAAGCATATTCAAACTAGAGACGCTGATCAGAATGTTTTGCCTAATTTCTGATCTCAGTTTTTATCTTATGTATTGTTCTGCAGATACCAACTCTATTATTGATTGATCTTTGAATCCATCAATAAAGTTAAGAAGATACAAGATCCACATTTATTAACTTTTGTCAAGCAGTTATTAGGATAGAACAAAAGACGATTGACTTGTGAGTCGCTGTTTATTTAAATTAAAATAAATGAAAAATATAAGAAAAATTGAGCAAATACCATTAGCATTACTAACTGTTACTTCCTATAAGAATACTAGCATTTTCAAATACAGCTTGTTCCATTAAAAACAACTTTGTTGTCCAGTTTTCAGCCTTCCTGTTTCCTGCTGAAAGTCTTGCTTTCTCTCGCTTTCAGGCAGCTTAAAATAACAAGTCTTTTAAACAGATATCTATCTATATGTGCTTCATCTAATTTAATTTTAAAAGACAAAAAAGCACTAATGCTAAAAATAGCTATGTTTTTCACTCTTTAACAACTTAAAACACTAGAGTGTCGTTTGCACAACCTGCTAACACTCGGGTTTAAAACGCTCAGTGGAAAAAGATCGCTTCCAAAAATGAATAAAGTCTCATACTCCCCATCATCATTTACTCTTTGGATTTTGGTGCAGAACTTGATTGATATCTGAAATTAGCCTGCCATTTGCTCCGTGACTCACGCTCCTAGACTGGAGGATTCTCAAAGGAATATTAGCAACAGGTTCCTCTGATGAGATCTTCTTGTTGGATTTACCGCCGACATTGCAGCTTCATATCCGTGGCATTAATCATCTTTCCTTCCACCGTCTGTGCAATAAATTTGTCTCTCTCTTTCTTTTTTCTCTCCTCCCAGTGCAAACACATCCTGGCCGTCTACCTGTGTCAGGCTATGGCTGTGACTCAACAGGAGAGTGTCTCCGATCAGCAGATGTCCGCGGTGCTGAGCGGGACAGAGAGCCCGTAGCAGCCCCCACATGGGCGGCTCTCCGGCTTGCTGCATTTATCTGAAAGATAACAGATTCTACTCTGTTTTCTTTCAGAAATGTTCTTGATCTCAAATACTTACAGCTTTATTTTTAGTTGCTTTTTATCTGGCGCTCCATCAGTTTTGGAGTGAGAGAACATCTGGACACCGGGGTCACTTCCAAACCGACTCACTGCAGAGTCATGATTATTATTTTTTTTTCTCATGCGCTGCTACTAAATATAAACTTGTCACGACTTTAACATGTGGGAATAAAATCCGACTGTACCAATATAAACGTTGCCTTTATTAACAAAATAATTCACCATGCATACAGATTGCATCATGTTAAACAGTTGTAGTTTTATGTTGTAGTTTTATGTTGAACAAATGAACTTTCCCCTCTGGAAAACGTTGGACATCAGCTCGACCACAGTGGAGGCATTTTTCCTGATTAGTAACAAGATGACGCACAGATACTTGGGAATGAAAGGCAGGAATGTTGAACTTGCCATTGTTCGCATTACCTTTTAAAATAAAAATAAAAAAATCAAGGCAACAGTTTGACATCAAGCAGAAAGCCAGACAGCTACAGTACTTATTGTCACACATCAGTCAACAAAGACGATAAGATAACGTTACAGTGCAGTTACAGTATAGATGTCTCCATTGGAATGTCCCTAATCGTTGCGACTCTCCTGTGTTTTAGCCCTTGAAATCAGACAGAGGTGGAAATCCATAAACGCAGAAAGACAGTGCAGCAGCATAGACAGAGGACTCCACGTCAGAGCACTTATTTCACACCAGTGACGCACACCAAAACAGGAAATTAAAATGTCAGGGCAATGTTCATTTGAATAAATGACTGTCATGTGATCGTAATGCCCTCTGGTAGTTCATAGATGGCATGACTTTGCAAAAAGACCTTCTTATGCAGCTTAAAAGCTTTTCTTTGTATTATAATAACGCCTCTGTGTTGAAAAATATTTACTTTTCACAATCTCCCTCACTGGAATCTGGATTTACTAACCTGCTTTTGTTGGCACACATAACATTACTCGGCTGAGTTAAAGATTCAAATCGTTTGTTTTCTGAAATCAAATGGCTTGTCTGTTCTGTCTGTGGTTTTTAAGTCTGACTGTGGTTGAAGGTTTGAAGTAAGCCCAACTCTTATGCCCAAAGCAATGACAGCTAGGAAGTCTTATGCAAGCCACTAAAGGGAAGTGTGACCAGAACCCGGTCTATGTGGAGTTACATAAAGGACTCTGATTTGAGGCTTCATCTTGCATGACGTCATTGTGAAGCAGCTAACAAGGCCCAATGTTGACACAAAATTAGTTTAAAGGCTACAATCCTTTTTCCACGTCCTGAGCTTACGTCTGAAGAAATGCACATCACTGTAGGCGAGTTTTGCAGCTAAACCAACTTCCACCACTTAGCCGTTTCCTGTGGAACAGATGCAAAGGTGACAGTTTGGTTTTTAGTGGTTACAGTAAAATGCAAGACAAAGAAAAGTGACTTGTTTCTTATTAGTTATTCATCCTGTTTTAAAAAATATATATTTTTGAAAGTGAGATTCTCTTAAGAGGTTTAAAACAATCTTTGCATTCCCTAAATTTAGTATAAATCCAGATTAATTCATCTGATAGGCTAAAGCTAACAGCTAGTCTGTTGGAGACAAAAGCAAGACTTTAATCGTTTAAAAACAACTCTAGCATAAAATAATCACTTTTTTTTCATCCAATATTATTTATGGACAGTTACTCTGCTATTTAAGTTTCTGCATTGAGGACTAAGGCCTCCATTCATGCATTGTTCGTTAAACCTTCACCACCGCAGCAACCAACTGGTTGCTTTTGACTGTTTTTTTTTTTGTCTTGGTCTTTGCCAGGTTAGCTGTTAGCTTAATTATCCAGAAAGAAACCTCCCTTAAAATTGAAGATATTAAGTTATTAACAGCAGGTAAGTCACTAACTTTAACAAACATTTTTACAGTCTTAAACTGATAAAAATAATTAATAATCCCAATTTTAGATCTTAAAACATCTTTAAAATGCAGACTTGCAATATTAAGTAATTAATTGAGGAGTTTCCAATTTTTTCCCATTGCATTTAGATTGGTGTATATGTACATTTAGAAATATTTGGACAGAAGACGTCACAAAAAAAGATATCTTTTTTGGGATATCTTAATCTTTCAGATCCTACTAATGGAGTTTGACCCTTGACCTGGTTAAGTTTTAGAATCACATTAATTTTAGTTTGCTACTTCTGGGTTAGGGCAATAAAATCAAAAACATTCACTACAGTAACTAACCACCTGCTGCTTGGTCATTGGGTTGAATATAAATGACAAGTTAGGCTTTGAAGATTTTAAGGGCAATTAAAGGAGATGGAAAATCAAATGTTCATGTACATCTTTGATTTTAGATAAAACTTGTCTTGAAAATGTTTTAGATGCAATTTAAGCAGAAACTCACCATTGAAAAAAGGCCATACTGTCCCTTTATTTGACATTTTTAGCACTCTCCTGTACAAAGTTGGTGCTTATTTAAGGAGCCATGAGGTCAGCTTGTCTTGAGAAAACTATGGTGTACTGATGAACGATATGCAACTGCTTCCTTCCAAATTAAATGAATAAATCCAGGCTGAAGAAAATGTGTCCTCCTCTCAGCAGACAGATGAAGCAAAGATCTGTGAGCTGCAGAATACCCACATGTAAGGATGGCTACCGCTGAACCTTTCTTTAGCTCCACAAGTACAGAGGTAGCCCACACACGCACGTTTGTTTGATCAATACATTCTCAAAGACAAGGTCTTGTAATAAATAAATTATTTTAACACTGGCACTGAATGTCGAGAGTATAAAAAAGAGCAGGGCACAAAAAGAGGAGTGTTTGTCATTGGAACAGGGTGAATTCAGAACAATAAATAGCATCTTGAGTTTGGATCTTCAGTCCTACAAATCCAGTTAGCTTCAACTATTTAAACAAAACTCCTTCAACAACAACAAACCAAAGTTATTTAAGACTTATAGTTGAACACTTCACAGACCCCCATCCCAACCCAATACAATTGATAAATAAAAGTACATTCAAGGTGGGATTGACATCGGTTCATCTTCACATTGTTCTGTAAACATTAGAAACCACACGCCTTGATGTCGATGGAGTCCTCCGCCTCTAAAGCAGAGGGTCAATGGTCACTGTGACCTGGTCTCTGTTGTGCCTGCTGCCTTTGGAGCTGAGGTAAAGCTCCTCCTTTTGGCAGAGGAAGTGCCGCACCAGGATTTTGCGGAAGGTGCTCCGGAAGTCCTGAATGCGGTAAGCGTAGATGATTGGGTTGATCGCGGAGTTGGCGTGAGACAGAATGATGGCCACGTACATGACAAACACAGGCTTCTTCAGATCGCCGTAAAACAGCGTGAGGCAGTTGAGGATGTGGACGGGCAGCCAGCAGAGGGTGAAAAGTCCCACGATGATGGAGAGGGATTTAGCGGCCCGGATCTCCTTCTGCAACAGACTCTTGTTCTGGTTGTCCCCGTTGCCTACACACTTGAGCTCAATCTGCCTCAGCTGCTTCCTGGCTACGGTGAAGATCTTCACGTAGATGCCCAGCATTATGAGCAGCGGCACCAGCACGCACACAAAGAAGTTAAAGTACACCATGTACTGCATGTCCACCACGCTCTCAAAGTAACACTCTTTGCATTTCGTGTTGTTGACCGAGCTGCTGTTCTCCCAACTCGAGTTCTTCAAGTTCCACCCAAAGAAGGGAATGAGGCCGATGACAAAGGACAGGATCCATAAAATGGCGATTATCTTCCTGGCGGTCTTCCCGGTCATCAACTCCTTGTACCTGGAGAAAACGGGACACAGGTTCGTATTATTCACAAAGGTCACAGTGATCTCACAAAACACATTTTTATCCATAACTCACAATATCTCAAAGGTCAAAGTCACGATGAGATCATACATTCCCTGATCAATATTCAGCTTCGTGTTCAGGGGCAGAAGCAGAGATGGTCGCTGTCTGTTTTTCTGAGAATCTGCGAAGAACGTGGAAAAAAGTGAGCTGAAGGTGCAAATGCGCACCAACAGCTTGACGATGTGTCTGAACATGTGTGGTGGTTTCCAGCCTTGAGAAGGCTTTATGGAAAAATGTAAACTTTCTTTTTGTTTTGCAAGGACAACAATAGTCAATACCAAGAGACAGTTAACAAGAGGATTGTTAACTGTTCATTTTTGTATGCAAAATCATGCAAATGAATTTTGCTCTTGGCTTCATTTTCTGTTGTTTATGTGCATTACAGCTTTGGATTATCAAGCCAGGAAAGCACAGATAGAGATCTGTTGCAACAACATGGACCCTAACACTCTTTGTTATAGTCTACCAATCTGATCCTAACAAACACTATGAGGAAAAGCCAGAAAACATTCTGCAACAGCCTGAAAAACAAGGTTTAGTCTGTAGGTACTGCTTATCAAACAACATGGTTATCTAATCATGAACAAATATGAGCTCTGCTATAAATAAAACTCCGTATCTGATCTGTCTTGGAGCACTTTCTGAGGATCTGGAGGTCCACAATTCCACAGAGAAAAAGCTTGTTGGAAAGGAAGTGAGGATCGCTCTCACTCTTCCAGGACGTTCCTCCTGAGGTCAAAACTTCCGTCAGCATGTAGGATTTTACAAAAACACAAGAAAAGTGTGGCCTGGTTTGAAGGAGTTGGTCAAGATAGCAGAATTCCTGGTGACACCCAAGTAGACATTGTTACCTCTTACCAACATCGTTTTCTTAAGCAAACACCACTTTTAATTCGTTCAGAGTTGCTGAACGAAACATTGATTTTAGATGCACTCTTACATGAGTGCCTTGTGAAATGAATATGTTTCCATCACAGCTTTCCACTGTTACTGCCATAAAGAAATGCCACGTTGCTCTTACCACTTTCCGAGTGAACTCTGACTTCGGGGAACGTTCCAGTTGATTTCCCCAACTGGGAATTCAGAATTCCTGAGTTCCGACTACAAATGGGAAACCAGGAGCTACAAAACCGGGACTCTACAGTCATTGAGTCAACCAAGAGCTACACACCAGACTTTCTACAATCAAAAATGGACAAACTGGACGATGTTCTACAGCTCAGCCGCAAATCTACCACAGAAAAAGACTCAAAGTGCAGCAGAAAACCAAAGTGTAGGTCGCTCACAAATTTAAATGGTTGCGCTATCAGAGGGTTGAGCAAAACAGATGGCTACAGCTGAAATGCAATTCCTACTAACACTTCACAACAAGAAAAAGGGGGATACGTAATAAACAAAGAAAATCTATAAATAGCTTAATGGAATCGAAGAGTATTTATTCTCCACAGACAGAATCTACATGCAGCCATGTTCTATGTGCCTCTGTAGAGTTAAAATGAAAGTAACAAGTCTCCTGCTTCTTTGAAGTCTTGGTCTGTGAGCAGGCAGCAGGTGTTTTACATGTTCTTTTTTTTGATTTATGCTAAAATCCTCCCCGGTGTTTCAAAGTGATAACCGACATCAAAACATGAGCAGGAACTTGTAGTCGGTTTCTCATAAAAACGTTCCCTGGCTGAAACCTGAAGCCCGGAGCAGCAGCTGTACATCAGGGCTGCTTGTAGGGAAGCTGGGCGAATCATTTTGGGTTCTGTCTTGACCGTCCCGATCACGTGAACCACGCTGGGAGCCCAATGTGTCTTTTCCTCAAAGTGATTCAGCGGCACAGCCATGATGACTCACGAGGACGCTGACAGGGACACGCTTCCAAACGGGTCAGTCTGAGCTGGAGGTGTCACATGTTGTATGTCTGCACACTGAATAGGGAAGAACACGACGCTTTTCTTTAGAGGAGAGCTCTGAAAGGATCAGGCATTGAGTCCGCCGTACGCCTGCAGACCACAGACGAGGCCTATTTCATTGATTTGACACTGAAAAACCACAACTTTTCCTGTCTATTTTTTGTTGGAAGTATCTTAGTACACTTGAACTAAGAGAAAACAAACTGACAAGAGCCTTCCAACAAGATATAGAAGCTTGTTTTAACCCAATAATTAGTTAATATTCATGAAAAATTGATGGCGTGTTTTCAGAAACGCGTCTAGTTTGAGTAGAGACGCTGATTCGACTGGTCCGATATTTACATCTGTATCGGTCCTGATATTGAAAAAAACCTTTAGTGACAATGTGCCCGATCCATAAGAGCAGATCTAATCAGTCTATTTCTATGCTTTGTGCTCTTTGTCATACTTTATTATTTATTTTACATTATATTTAGAATCCCTAATTGTACTTCCTGAACCATTTGAAAGATCTGACGCAGTTTTTTTTATATTTTTGTCCAACCTATTGCTTTTGTCACTTTCTTTGTTATTTATCTTACATAGGCTCTTATACTCCTAATTGCACTGACTGAACAAATTGTTTTATTTTTATATCTTTGACCAAGCTTGTGAAGCCATTGGTGTATTTAAGTGTTCTGTTTTGGTGCAGCGTTATCAAATCATTTTTTAATCTGTTACATTTATGTCTGTATCGGATCGGTATTGGCCGATACCAAACCTCAGGTTTCTGTATTGGTATTGGAAATAAAATTTAAAAAAGTGGATTGTGCATCTCCCAATGGTTCTAGCACTTTTTTAATCAACATTGAGGAACTATTTACTTATAACAAGCTCTTGCAAAAAAAAAAAAAGTGAGTTGTAAGTTAGTTTTGTAAGTTTGTAAGTTGGCTGTACCGAGATATCTGCACTAGAAATAAAAATAGATTTGTTTTGTTTTTTTTGCAGTTTCCTCCCACTTTGTGTTGGTCTGTCACATAAAATGTCGATAAAATGTCAATTGAGTTTTTCTATGTATAATGTGAAAAGTCCAAGGCCTTTTACAGGGCTTTGTTTTGTAACACCTCAGGCAGCACTTCCTGGATTTGGTCTCCGCATTAACTGGATGGAAGAAAAGCATAATATGATGATAAATGAACAATCGTTTCATTCTGTGGCGCTGCGGTGATGGAAACGTGGATTTAATCTGGGCTTCGTGACGGAAAACCACTGTTCCTGTTTTACGGGGAATTTGATTGTAAAACAAAAGTCAGGTTACCATAACAGCAGAAATTATTTTTCATCATTATCCCGTTCTGCCCCTGCCTTTTTATAATTCTGATGAGTATAAGTTTATGAGCCCTGGCTCTGTCCAGTGACCCCCTGCTGGGGCCCGGGCAGGATGCCCCAGGGGGTCTGAATGATAAAAACACACGACCCAAAGCAGCCCAGCAGAGGAAACCAAGGCGCTCATCCTTCATTACCCACAATATCCTGCTGTTTGTCGCTGTCTCCTTCTTCCTTTTAATCACTGAGAACAACGGCGAGTATGGGATCCGTTTCTCAGAGGGCCCATCTCCTGAACACTCTGCTTTTCGTGCGTGGAGACAGCGAGCAAACCAGCAGCTGAATGGATTAGTCCTGGCATGACGACAGCCCGCCGGCATCTATCTTTGTTCTGCTTCCTTTTCCAAACTCCACTTCCGCCCCCAGGGGCCACCGACCTGTGCCGCAGCCTGAGCGCTCCCAACATCCACCTTAAAGTCCAGCTGCGTCCACAGCAAAAGCCCCACAAACTGTGGGGCAGGTCACTGCTCCATCATATCAACTCCATTCAGATTGTTTCCACAAACGAACTGGTGCAAAAACCTAAAAGCTGCTTCACTATTGAGAGATCGTGATGTAATAAGTTTCATTTTATCTGCCGCTTTCAAGACATAACACCTTGATGAGCTTGAAGCAGAACTATTTCACTTTGCCTCCTGCAGCGGATCTGTGTTTCAGAGCAGCAATAAACATAATCAGCTTTTTTCTTTTTTTTTAAACCTTTTGTAGAAGAAGCCTAATGAGTGAGTCTCTGAAACTGAATGTGTTTTTAGTCGGGACTCAACAGACGGAAACCTAAATTGATGCTTCAAGATTTTTGACATGATTTTTCTGTGAACAGATCATAAGCAGTTACTATCTTGCCTATTTTAAATAACTACGCATGGAGACTTAATCCAAATTAGACAGTAGTAGTTAACTTGGTTAGTTTCCAGGATCAACTAATTTGGATTAAGTCTCCATGTGTAGTTATCTAAAATAGGTGTTTAATGACTTTGATGGAGGATTAATTTTGAAGCTGGAGGAATTTGCCCTCAGTGGTGAAAATGTCATCGCTGATGGGGGTCGACCTCATCGCCTCGGGCTCAAGTCACTTCCAGATTCGATTTCTCTGCTGACTGATTTATTGCCTTTAAGATTTTTCCACCACAGTGATTCAAAATGTTTGTGTCTTTACATGAAATTGACCAAAGTGTAACATCTGCGATGAGATCAAACAAACCAAGAATTTAGCTCTATTTTAGATGCACTAATCTTAATCAAAGACACATTATCTAGTTAAAACGACAAAAGAGCCTAAATATAGACAGGTCAGCATATTTTCGTTTGTTGTTCATTTTATTTCTATTTTGGGATTGAAAATAAAGATAAAATTTAGCAAAACAAAAAAAGACTGCTCTACTATTCCTCCTTTCCAACCTCTGGCACATAGAATCCACTCAACATAGGTCAAAGTTTACATTTATAAAACATCACAATAATGCGACGTCACAGTTACAGCACGGCTGAAACTCCCACAGGTCGTCGTCAAACTTCGGTTTGACAGGCGGGTGGATTCCCCTCCATCTGACTCAGATCGGCCTGTTTTCACACAGTTTTCTCTTTGTTTACAACATCAGCTGACTCCTAAACAGAAATCTAGTTCAGAGCTCAAGTGAGAAGACAAACTTTCATCCAACGATAAGCAAA